TAATATTTTTGCTCTTGAGTACTTTAAAGAGGTCTAAGGGTAGGTCAGCAGTTCGAAACTACCAGCTGTTCCACGGGAGAAAGATGAGGCTTTCTGCTCCCATAAAGATTTACAGCCTCGGAAACCCTGTGCAGGGTTGCTATGAGTCAGAACCGACTCCACGGCATGTAACCACCACCACCACGTTGAGTTGTCCTATTGTTGTTGCTGTTGCTGTTGTTGTTGAGGTTGTTGCTAAGTGCCATGAAGTCAGTTCCAAATCATAGCAACCCTGTATAAGGTTTCTGGGTTTTAAATCTTTGTGGGAACCCACAGTCTCATCTTTCTATTGAGAAATGGCTGGGGGTTCGAACCGCCAACCTTGTGATTCATAGACCCGTGCTTATCCTGTGCAGCCACCGCACTCCCAAAGTGCCCTATAGTGTTTTATTATTTAAAGGACCACTGAGCTTTTCACCAAAAAGTCAACAGTTTTAACCTCGTAAACCACTTTGCTCTGCAGGAGAAAGACACAGCAGTTTGCGTCCAGAAAGAAGACAGCCTTAGAAAGCCCTTGGGGCAGATCTCCTCCGTCCTACAGGCTCAGATCAGTATGAGCCAGAATTGACTTGACAACAGTAGACAGTTTAGTTAATAGTGGCAACAGAAAATATCACTACATTCTAAGACTTTTATAACAAAAGGACCTATTATGTCCAGTTCTCACAAATTATTTAGACTTCTCAGCTTTTCCCAAAAAATGTTAGATTTAAAAACATCCCATTTTTGTTGTTTTAGCTTTTAACTGTGATTTGGATGAAGGTTTAGGTCCAACAATTCATATGCACTTCGCTTCATCTCATTGATTGTAATCCCTTCAGTGTACCTTCACTTACCCTACTTCATCCTGTGCTTCCTGTTTCCATTTATCCAGTTTGTTTTATTTTAAAAAAAATTTAACTCTTTTTTAATAGCTACTTTTCCAAACAGTATTCATTTTGCCAAACTAGTTTTTAAGTTTGATGACTTTGATTGTCAATATTGGTTTGTTTGTTGTGTTGTTTTTTTAAATAAAGGTAGTCAAACCAGTATCTGAGACATGTTAACTTTTTTTTATATATATACAACTCTTCAACTATATCAAAACCATATCAAAGACCAGAGTGAAATTTATGTCTTCTCTTTTGTGAAAGGACTAAATAGAGAAAGGAAAAACTAAATAAGAGGAAAAGAGAGAAAATGGACAACTAGGGAAGCAGGAAAGGGCCTTAAAAGAACCCAGGTGTGTTTTTAACAACGCTGTCTGCTAGTGGAATTTTGGTGTGGGTGGTACTGTGGGTTAACGTGCTGAACTGCAAAGTCAGTTTGAGCCGTAAGGCTGGCAGTTCAAGTTCACCACCTGTTCCTGGGAAACCCTATAAGGGGTCGCTATGGGTCAGAACTGACTCAATGGCACATAACAACAACAATCTTCTTTGAGTCCCTGGGTCATGTAACTGGGTAACATGCTCAGTTGCTAATTGAAAGAGTGAGGTTTGAGTACACTCAGAGACACCTTGGCAAAAAGATTTAGGTATGTACTGAAAAATTAGCCATTGAGAGCACAATAATTCTCTCATATACATGGGGTTGCCATGAATTGAAATCATTAAATGTCAACAGGTCTGCTACTGCATCAGTATCTACTTACAGATGTCTAAGAGGTTTATACCGGCTTCAGCTTTCCCTGGGATATGGCAGCTCCTCAGATATTTACTACTTCAGGCATTACTAAGCCACCAGGATATTTCCACACAATAGTAACCCTTGTGTGCCCTAATTCCAAATTTTATCAGCCATGTATAAATGATCTTTTCTGCTTTCAGTATTACTTCAGAAAGGCTTAGCAGAGCTCTGAAATGCTAAGAGGAAGCAGAAAATAAGAAAAAGAAAAAAGACAGGGCAATATTTCTCTGCATTTAAGTAAGATTTTTACTTGAGTCTTTGGACAATAATTAGCTATAACACTGATCTAAAAGCATTTCTCCTAATTTTTACTAAAACAATATGCATGATGCTCTTCTTCCATATTTAAATTAGAAATGAAATTAATAGAAGTTATATGTTACTAACATTTTTACATAAGAAAATCACCAGGCTTGAAATAGCAAAAAATCATTACCTTAATCTTATTGGCCAGCTGCTCGCTCATTTTCACATGCGCATGTTAGCTGGACGTGAGCAAGTGACCTGCAACCATGAAAATATTCTTTCTGTTACAGCCCGAAATATTCGACAGCACTCAGTGGACAAAGACGAGCAAAGCTTGTGGTTGAAGAATTTCCCCTAACTTATGATATGCAAGCAAATGACATAGCAAAAGAACTAATAGAAAAGGTACTTCTTTAAAATGTATACATTTTTTATGGGATATTAAGAAATGTTTGCTATTTCTTCTTCATCAATTTCCTTTCTTAGAAAAGAAAAGGAAAGTGATAGATGATTTACTCTATCAAAATTTAAAACATATTGAAACATTTATACCAAATTGTGCAGAGTTCATAACAGAAATACAGGGCAATAAAACAGTTGGAGAGACCAGAAATAAATGTAAACATAAATACATTTAATAATGAACCAAATGAAATAAAATTAATGAAATGGGACAATAAAAAATTACTTAATAAATGCTGCTTGAAAAACTAGCAATTGTTCTGTAGAAAATAGATTTTGCATCATATAATTCAATACAGTTTTGATGAGACAAGGTGGTAACGTTTTTTAAAGAATAAAACATCTTGGAAACACTGGATGAATAGATGTGTTTGGTTATGAATAAATTGAAGAGTTTAAATATATGAATGTAACTTGAGTACTATGAAAACAAGGAGGCTTGGTGGCACCGTGGTTAAGTGTTCAGCAGCTAATTGAAAGGGTCAGCAGTTTGAATCCAAAGCTGCTCCGTAGAAGAAAGATGTGACAGTCTGCTCCCTAGAGATTTATAGCCATGGAAATCCTATGGTATGGCACTTTAGGATAAGCACTGGACTTCTAACTGCAAGGTAAGCTGTTCAAAACTGCCTCTCCTCAGAAGCCCTATACAGGGTTGCTATGAGTCAGAACCGACTCAACAGTAACCTGCGCTATAGTATTGCTGTAAGTCGAAATGACTCAATGGCTGTGAGGTTAGTTTGGTTTGGGTATTGCGAAAACTAGAAAAACTAAATTTAAAAAATACAAAGAATTATAGTAGGAGGTGGGGGGGAGCATAATGTGCAACAAATGTATCCTATGGGAGCTTCATTTTCAGAATATATAAGAAGTGGATACAAATCCATGAAGATGATGCCCACCCCCTTTATCGGAAAATACAAATGGAAACATAAGTGATAGGCATTTGCAAAAGGTTCAGTCTAACTAATTCTTTTTTTTTTTTTAATGTTTTATTGTGAATTATAAGACAGTTTACATGGGAGAACATTAGTTTTATATTCATACTATTGTATATCGTTTCATTGCCATGGTTACAATCCCCTCCATGCATCATCAACCAACCCTGCAAGCCTGTGCCCCCGGTCGTCAGCACACTAACTAATTCTTTTTAATGTAGATAAAAATAACTGTGAATTAACATCTCACCACACTTAAACTGGGAAATTAAATAAAATGTACTTAATCTAACATTGGCAGAGGCTGAAGAAAATAATTAACATTCATGTATGACAACTAACAATGTAATCAATTGTACAGTTTTTCATAGTCCAGTTAGACTTTTGACCCAGTAATCTTCTGTTTGGAAATCTATTCTGAGAAAATAGTTGAGCTATCTTAATCAACAGTGAATAATAGGCCAAATTCTCAATAATTGGAAGACTGATAAGATGATAATGACTTCTCTATATAATAGAATATTTTATGGGCACTGAATCTGCTAACTATATTGACTATACCAAGATAGAAAAGTATATATATATATATCTTAATGGAAACTTAAAATGAAAAGTTAAACACTGTATACAGGTTGATTAAAAGCAAGGAAAAAAGCATGTACATTCATGTGAGGATCCTAAATTGATAGGAGTATACTGAAAAGTGTCTGACTTTTTGTTTTTCCAGTTGTATTGCCATATTTGCAGGAGAAAGATGTGGCAGTGTGCTTCTGCAAAGATTACAGCCTTGAAAACCCAATGGGGCAGTTCGACTCTGTCCTTTAGAGTTGCTATGAGTGGAGATCAATGCAATAGCAGTGGGGTTGGTGGTTTAGTTGGCACATTTGTGAGGTTTTAGCTGTTATTTAAATACATACAGCCAAAAAAACAAAGTCATTTTGTTTTAAGTAGGAAAGCATGAAATGTGTTCACTGTTTCTATAGTTGCTCCCCCACTTTAAATGATGCCATAAGATTTTCTGTAGTTTGTGTATAGCCAGTTATAGCTGCTAGTGACATTTCCCATATAGAAATAAAGTCACCATTCAGTAAGACATTTCAGGATCAGTCTTTGAAATTAGAATTTTATAAACAAAGTACACTTACTGTTTACTACTGCTATTCTGGGAAGTTTTAAAAAAATTCTTTTTTCTAGGAATAAATCCACTCCAGAAAGTTTCTTTTGAAAACAAAACTTTAACTATTAATTTAGTCATAATAGATCATCATCAGAGTCCTTGTTTTGCATTTGACTTCCTGGACACAGTTTAAGATCTATTTAAACAGGAAAGAACTGTTATTTCAGCAATTAGAGTAATGGAATTATTTTATAAAGAGAAAAAGTCAGGAAACAGTACATGAAATATTTAAACAGTGCCCCGTGTATTAACAAGAGCAATAGATGAATACCAGATATTATTCCTGAGCATGTCTTCCATAAAGACTTCATTGTTGAGCAGTTGGACTCAAAGCCAGTTTTAACATTATAACAAGGTTCATTGATTCTTGTAAAATGAGGTTTACAAGTGTTTCTCAGAATTTTAAAAACACTAGTCTTTCAACTTAAAACATGGAAAAAAATATTAATGCTTTGCTTATTACCAGGCCTTTCCAGATAAAATTTTCTAAAAATAAAATAAGCCTTTTACACTTTTCACACAAATCAACTGATAAGTAGAAAAAGCACTAACAATAAATTCAATAGTTTCTACTTGCAAAATACCATGTCTCCTTACCACTTCACAGACTCTCTCCCAGGATACTTGATAGAAAGGAAAATGTTCAGGCTTCTTGCACTGTTATTACCTCAATATGTTAATTTATTGGAGTAAATAATAGTCCTTTGTCCTGTCTTCACATGCCTGTACCTGAGAAGCCTTTCCCACTCCTAGACAGCTTTTCTCCATCCTTCCACCCTGCCATCCTTCCTCTTTCCTCTGTCTTTGTTTTTCATTTGTTACGGCAGGCAGAGAAAGTGGAAGGTCCATGGATTCAGTGCCTTGAGTTTGACTCCATGTCTTCAAGTTAAAATAAATGCAAGTCTTTCTTAGTGTAACTAAGGAGTTGAATGAAAAGAGAAAAAGAACAAGCCAAACATCACAGCTTTTTATTCATAGGTTTACACAATTTCTCTGAAGCCTTTCTTAGTTCTTAAATGTTTTCTGGAAAATCTACTGAAAATGGTCACGTCAGAAAGATTAACAGTTTTCTAGGAAACACCCCTTGGCAGCGTGAATGGCATCTTATTTGTTTTGCCAGCTTCCTTTAGATGTGGAGAGCTGGCAGGGCAGTGAACATGTCCCCTTTATTTGGAGTACCTCCATTGAGCATCTTCCAACAACACCACCTGGGCTCTTTGAATGAACTTCTGTGGAACTAAGGAAACAAGAGAACCTATCCCATCACACTACAGTGCCATTTTCATCTTCCAGAAGTGTTTTTGTCCACATTCTCCCACAATAATTATCCATTTCCTTTATTTTGTAAATCTGGAGTTTGGGATAGGTACTGAGTGCAGCAATGGGAAGAAGGCCTCAAGGTAGAAAGTCTCTGCCAGGCCCCAGGGGCCAACTTCATCCTATGGTATGTTGGTGACTGTCCCAAAGGGAGGAAGGGAGTGCTGGTTTATAGCATTTTCTGATTCCTGTGGTGTAAATAGGAATCCTGGTGTGGCATTGTAGGCTAAAACACTGGACTTCAAGGTCAGCGATTCAAACCCACCAACCGCTTTTTGGAAACCCTTTACAGGGTCTCTGTGAATCCGAAGCAATAGAAACAACAATTGGCAAAAATACTTCCTCCATGGCCAATTTCAAATTTCACTGAGCAGTTAGTTGGGGAGGGATATGCAAAATCAGCTCTCATGAGCCTGTACGTAACAGCTCCAGCCCTCCACTGCCTTGCCTCTGCCTCTCTCCCATCCTTGAATCCATACCCGGACCACCTCTCCCTAGCATTCTCTGCTCTCCCTCCCCATGCACCCTTCTATAACTAACCAAACTATCCAAATGGCAATTAGAAAATTCAGTGTATTTACCTTGTGTGATACTGTGGCATAAACACTAGACTGCTAACCACAAGGTTGGTGGTTCAAACACACCAACTATTCCTTGAATCAGAAACAACTCAAGAGCAATTAACAAAAACAACCAGAGTTAACAGAAAACTAGATGAACCGAACCATTACTCAAGGGCCACAGGCTGGGAATTCATGAGTGGAATCCTGATTCCAGACATATTTCTTTAGCACTCACAGTGTTTTTGATGATTGGAGTCAATATTTATTACTTAGGAACTTCACACAAAAAGCCAGATTTCCAGCTTCTCTTGAAAATAGAAGTTATCAGGCCTGCATTCACACTGTCATCAGTGGAGCTGAATTACACTTGACCCTTTTTTAGTTGCTTCTGTACCAAGTCTTCATTTTCATTCCATTTCATTTCTAGCTGTAGACGTTTGCATTCACAATCTCCATTCTAACTCTTCCTTTCCCTCCCATGTAACCTTTACTCAGTTAAAACAATGACCATATAAAATTTTATTTTTTCATTTTAACTTATTTAACAAGTACTCAGAAAGCTCCTTCCAAGTACAGAACACTGCAATACAAAGATGAATGAGACATTACTCTGACCTTCAAAGAATTGCCCGTTTAATGCAGGAGAAAGCCACTGACACAAATAGAACAAGCTAGGATGTCAAAGCCAAGAATGGGAAAGTGCTGAGCAGAAATAACCCTGCTGAGGAGCCCAAGTTATTTCAGTGGCAGGATGCTATGTGCTCCTGAATCCTGTGCTTTGGGGTTGAATCTAATGATGTGAATTTGGCCTCAACAGAAGACGACAGCATCAAAATATAAGTAGGTCAGATTTACCAAGAATTCATCTTTCAACTGTTTTATTTATTTGACTGTATTGAGCAAACAATGGGTGCTTCTTGGTCTTCTTCCTTCTTCCTTCTTCCTTCTTCCTTCTTCCTTCTTCCTTCTTCCTTCTTCCTTCTTCCTTCTTCCTTCCTCCTTCCTCCTTCTTCCTTCTTCCTTCTTCCTTCTTCCTTCTTCCTTCTTCCTTCTTCCTTCTTCCTTCTTCCTTCTTCCTTCTTTCTTCTTCTTCTTCTTCTTCATCTGCTTCTTCTTCTTCTTCTTCTTCTTATCTACCAGTCATCTGTCAGTTTTGTCATATTATGGTAGCTTGCATGCAATGGGTAAATAAATATCTCCTTCATCAATAAAAATGTATTTGATAATGCTATTGTTGGTGATTTCTTGGAAAAGTTTTAAATTTTGCTTCAACAAGAGACAGCACTGTTAACTGATCAGCAGAAGTCACATTATCAAATTATTTCTTTTTCCCAAATGGGAGACTTTCAGAAAAAAAATGCTTTCTATTTTTGTAATTCCTAAAGAAAATTAATTCTGTTTGAAGAAGATACAGTGATGAGGTGACGTTGCCATTGACTCATGAGTTCCAACTCATGGGGAACCATATGTGTCAGAGAGGAACTATGCTCCAAAGGGTTTTTAGTAGCTGGTGTTTGGGAATTAGATCACCAGGCCTTTCTTCTGAGGTGCCACTGGGTGAACTTGAACTGGTAGCCTTGAACTTGAGCACATTTATGGCTTGCACCTCCCAGGGACTCCAATATTATATTGCTGTCTTTATTTTGTGCCATTGAATCAATTCTAACTCATAGCCACTCCAGCATTATATTTCTATTTTTATTTTGTGCCATTGAATCAATTCTAACTCATAGCCACCCCATTTGACAGAGTAGAACTGTCTCACAGGATTTCCTAGACATCATCTATACAAGAATAGATCACCAGATCTTTTCTCGCAAAGAACCATTGGTGGATTCGAACCTCTACCTTTCAGTTGCTTAATTGGTTAAGTCAGTTGCTTAACCAGTGTGCCACTAAAGCTGCTGTACTAAAAATCACAAAAACCAAATCTACTGTCATTGAGACAATTCCAACTCATAGTGACCTTCTGTAGGGTTTCCAAGACTCCAATATATAGGAGCAGATAATCTCATCTTTTCCCCTCAGAATGACTGGTGGGTTTGAACTTCTGACCTCTCGGTTAGCAGCCCAATGCCTAACCTACATCACTACCAAGAATCCTTACACTTGTTGTTGAGTGCCAGCAAGTCAATTCCAATTCATAGCAACCCTGCATGAGGTTTCCAAAAGTGGCTGGTGAGTTTGAACTGCTGACCCTGCAGTTACCAGTCCAGTACATACCCTACAGTACCACACCACACTGTTGTCATTGTAAGTACCTTCAAGTTAATTCCAAATCATAATGAGCCTGTATAGGGTTTCTGGGGAGCAACTGAACCGCCAACCTTGCAATTCAAACTAACCTTGTGGTCCAGTGCATTATCCTGCAGCACCACACCAGAACACTAGGGGTTCTTAATTTTGTTATGGTCTTTAGTAATTGGTCAAGTTTCTCCTTCTAGTGGATTTCTTCAATAATCCTAAAGGTTAATTGATAATATCAATGTAAATAAAGGTTGCATTTTTGTTCTACCATCTGTTTTTAAACCTCAGATTAATGTAGCTGCTAAAAGAGGAATGAAGTTTGTTGGATTCCTATCACAGCATTGTTCACCATCTAAATTCTGCAACGGAACCAACCTTGATGGAGACATAGAATCAGAACCAACACAGCCTGTAAGGCATGGTTCGCATGAAAACTGCAAAAGTTGGAACGAAGAAACATTAAGTGGACAGTTCTCTGAAAGTAGAATTGAGGAAGAGCTTCTTCAAGAAAGCAGACAATCTCAAGTGGAACAAGACAGCTATCCAGGTTTCTCAAAATCAACAAAGGAAGAAGGTAACACACAAGATGAGTAAAATGAGAATATATTACTCATATATATTCGCAATAAAAATTTAGCAAAAAGAGTTTTTTAAAGAAATTTGAGGCAAAGTAAATCTGAAAACATTATAAAGATGAAATGAACTTATATAAACTTGTCATTGTACTGTTGTTTTTAGGTGCTGTTGAGTCAGTTTTGACTCAGTGACTCTATATGACAGAGTAGAACTGCCCAATAGGCTCTTCTAGGCTGTAATTTTATGGGAGCAAATCTTTCTCACAAGAAACCACAGGGTAGGTTCAAACTCCCAACCTTTCTGTTACCAGCTAGCACTTAACCATTGTACCACCAGGGATCCTTAATAGACAAATACATAACTAAAATGCATAGTGTGTAAATTACAGTAAGTAGCATGGAGAAAAGTAATGGACTATCCCAGGTTAGGCCAAAACCCATTGCCTTTGAGTTGATTCCAACTCATAAACTTGTCAAAAATTTGTAAAATCCTTGCAACTAGAAATAATATAGGAGAGTTTTCAGACAGTCTTCCCTGGCATGAGCTTACAATATTCTCCACATAGCAAACTCTGTGTTGAAGATTTGCTTCCATTTAGTCACCAACATATTGTCCGGAGGAACCAGTTGCTGGAGAAGGATATCATGTTTGGTAAGGTGAGGGTCAGAGAAAAAGAGGAAGACCCCTAACAAGATGGATTGGCCAAGTGGCAGCATCAATGGACTCAAGCATGGCAACAGTAGTGAGGTTGGCCCAGGATCGGACAGTGTTTCATTCTGCTGTGCATAAGGTCACTATGAGTCGGTACCAACTCAATGGCACCTAACAACAACAACCAAAGAAATGATTCTTTAAAGAAAGCTGTTTTTCTTTAGGTTTGCACTCATAAACCATGTATGGAGTTTTTCGTTTTGGCCCTTCCCATTTCATGGCTTTCTTTGACCATAAATTAGAATATTAAAATAGTTCCTCATAATGAAATAATCAAATCACAATTGTTCCTACAGTCTAAAATAACTTTAAATAATAATAGTTTTTTTATTATTATTATTTCTTCTTTACCCATGAAGAAACTGAGACTATTGTATTCATGTGTTTCAAAGTGTTCCGTTTTCTTATACTTTTATGTTATTGTTAAGTGCCTTGGAGTTGGTTCTGACTTCTAGCCACCCTATAGGGTTTCCAGGAGTCCTGGAGTGGTGCTACAGGATAATGCACTGTACCACAAGGTCAATTTGAACCACAGGGTTGGCAGTTCAAATCCACCATCCTCTGTAGAAATCCTATAAAGGCTCTCAGTCGGAACCAACTTGACAGAACTTAACAGCACTATAGGGTTTCCAAGAAATGGCTGGTGGGTTTGAACTGCCAACCTTGCAGTTAGCAGTCCAGTGCTGATGCTGAAAAACATACTATCAAAAAACAACAAAGTCTATGTATTCCTTAGCCATAAGTCAGATTGCCTCAATTTCTTTTTAACAAGGGGGCAATAATAGGTCTTCCCTCATGGAGTTGTGAAAAGTAAATGTTGAGTTATCATCTTAGGTCAGTTAACACTTTAATCAGTGTTGGTGCTGTGGGGGCATATAATTGGTGTCACGGTTTCTGGGTTATGGTGAAACGTGCTCAACATCCTGTGTATGCCAAGATACATTCTAACCATGGTAAACTTAATCTCCTAGGAGAGGCAGAAGTACTTACCAAGTCATCAGCTCGCCAACAACACCTTTCCCAGCAGTTCCCTCGCTAACAACAATCCTGAATATAGGAACGTATGAGTGAGCAAGAGAGGTTGGAGCTATAGAGAGCTATTCAGGATCTTCCTCTGCATGCCATCGAGTTGGCTCCAACTCACAGACACCCTGTACAGTTTGTCCAAGGCCATATATTTTTATAGGAGCAGAAAGCCTCATCTTTCTCCATAGAGTGACTGGTGAGCTCCAACTGCTGACCTTGTGGTTAGCAGTCAAACTCATAACCCACTTCTTGTTGTTGTTAAGAGCCGTCGAGTTGGTTCCAACTCATAGCAACCCTGTATAGGGTTTCCAAGGAGCATGTTTAAACTCCACTGGTTCCTACTCTGACACAGATAAAATCAGGTAGTTATTTTGAGTTCTTTCAGTCCTAAACCCAATAATATGATGTTGTTGTTGTTAAGTGCCTTCAAGTCAGTTCTGACCTGTAGCAACTCTGTATAGAGTTTCCAAGGAGTGGCTGGTGAGTTTAAACATTGTAGTCCAACACACGAACCCACAGCGCCACACCAGGACTATCTATCTTTGGATTTCACTTTCTAAATAGTTTTATTTTAAAATCACATAATTCTTAATAACTGTTCTATAGCAGTGATTCTTAATTTTGGGGTGAGTATGATTCTCTTGAAGAATCTGATGAAATCTGATACTCATCTAGAAACTTGCATACAACACACACACATCAATATGAGCCATCTCAGACTTCCTAAAACATGACAATGGATGTGGGTCTGTGGACTCTAAATTAAGAATTCGACAATTTCTAGTAAAATAGAAGATATAGTCCTGCAATTCCATATCTGGCTATGTATTCTCGAGTAGGTTTCATACATATGCCCAAGGAGACATAAACAGCATTGTGTGTAAGAATAAAAAAATTAAATCATATTCCAGGGACTTCAAAAATTTTGTGGAATTAAAAGATAATGGAATTTTCCCACAAACCTTTTGACGTCCCCTCATAGATGTCCATAAGCAGGAGAATTTGATAGATAAACTAGACTATCATATAATACTTAAAATATATGAATTAGAGCTATATGTATTAATTTAGCTACATTTCAAAAGTCATTTCTACATTGATATGTACAGTATAATACCATCTCCATAAAACTGTAAAACATAATATTATTTACAAGTATAAAATTATTTTCTCAAAAGAATAAAAGCTTGTATGTACATGATAAAAGCCAAATTCATGACAGTAGTTTTTCTGATAATGGGTTTAGGAAGACTACATACTGAGCCTCACCCTATTTATTTCTTTAAAAAAAAAAAAAACAGTCTAAAGGAAATATGGTATAATGTTAGCATTCACTAAAGCTTAGTGGTGAGTGCTTTTATTATTGTCATATGTTTGAACTAGCTCATGATTTTAAAAAAAAATGTTAAGAATCTTTGATGAATAAAATTATAATATCCCCTTTTCTCCCTTCTGAATACTTATCTTCAGATAACAAGTTGTATGCAGTCTTCAATGTTTTTGATGATGAATCAACCTGCTGGACCTATCAAGAAGGCCTTCTGTCAATGAAAATAACAAGAAAAGGAGCTGTCATTTGTACACTTGATGCTGATTGGCTAGAGTTAACTACATTTTACTATAAGCAAAGCTTGTCTTTAATTGATTCTTTTGTTTGCTGGGAAGCATCTAAAGGTACGTTTTATATATTTATACTTTAAAAATTGGTACTGTGTCGGAGTTGGTTAAAATGTTTTTTGCCTTTCATGTTCTTTGGTTAAAAAGAGATTTATTCCTAAGGAAATAGGTTCCAATCATTTCCATAACTTTAATTAATAGCTTTTGCCTAAGCCTCCTGGTGTGGCACTACAGGCTAATTAATGCACTGGGCAGCACTGTGGTTGTGAACCACAGGGTGGTTGGAAACCCTATACAGATTCTCTATCAGTCAGAAGCAACTCGACGACAGTTAACAGCCACAACAGCTTTGAGAGCAAATGAGTACCCAGTGTTTGTGACAGCTACCATGTGACAGTTTGCCCTTGGGTTGTAACTATCAAGGATAGACAACCATTGTGTTATCATTTAGTAAAATGATCCAAATGAGATTACAACAGCCCAATCCAAGAGGTTGATGACAGCATATATCCGTCACAAATGTTATTATATTATCCCAGTTTTGGACACTATCTACTATTCTTGACACATAGTTGTTGTTAAGTGCCATTGAGTTGCTTCCAACACATAGCGACCCTGTATAGGGTTTCTGAGGATGGCTGGTGAGCTTGAGCCGCTGACCTTGCAGTTCAAACCGGCTTTTCTGTTCAGCATATTAACTTACAGAGCCACGCCAGGATCGTAGTAGTTACTCAATAAATATTTTTGTTCTTTTTGTGTGTGTGTGTGTAATTGGATACCTTCTAACTTGGTCTTTTATGAAAGTAGCAATAGGAAGAGCATGAATTTTAGAATCTGACAGACCAAGTTTAAAACCCATATCTTCTGCTGTGGCACTGTAGGGTAAGCATTCATTGCAAGGTCAGTTTGAACCACAAAGTTAGCAGTTCAAATTCACCAGCCACCAACTCGATGGCACTTAACCAAGCAACCTCCATTTATTAGCTGTGTGACATTGGGAAGTTAGCTGTGCTACGTTTCCTTTGTTTCTACAAAGAATATTAAAATACTACTGACTTCATTGTTGTGAGAATTTTATGAGAAAGTATGTGTAACATGACTCTCATCGTGCTTAGCATACACTCAGGGTTATTCTTAGCTCTCTTTCCTGCCACTTGTTCTGTGCCCTGTCGTTCTTTGAGTCTGGATCCTCTATTGAAAGTTCAGTTTATGCTTTATAATACAAGGGGCTTCAAAAAGTTCATGGAAAAAAATTCTATTATCTCTTCATTCTATTTCTCATTAACTTTTGAAACCCCTTCATATTTCTCTCTTCCTCTTCCTTTTCAAAGAATCTAAGTTGGAGCCGTTTCATTTTTGTTTGTTACTAACAGCTGAAGAAAAAAAATGAAAAATACTCATTTCAAAGTATCTCTGCCCTGGGCCTTGCCTGATGAAAATAAAATTAGCGGCAGCAGTTGCCAGCCAGAGACTCTGTAGGGCTTTTGTTCTTAAAGCCTCAGAAGCTATTTAGAGAGCCTGGGGACAAATCTCTCCCTCTCCACAGTTATGGAATGTCTCATTAGACAGTTTACATCCCAGGCGACACCAAGCCCTAAGGAGCCTCTACGGTTTGTGGGGTCTGGCAGTTGGGCAACTGGGTGTGTCACTAGGGACTTTCCTGGGAGTACCCAGGAAGCTGCAGACTGGGAAACACAGGCCAGTGCCTTTGTCACTGTGAGAAGCAAGTTAGAGGAAGCAGAGCTTCCCTGGGTTACTTTGTTCTGCCGTGTTTGATGCCTGCCATCTAAAGCACTTGGGACAAAGCATATTTTGCCTGTCTTGTTTCTTTCCTCTTCCAAACTATTGTCACAAGTGAGCCCACCATGAGAAAGGGAAGAACCAGACGTTGCTCAGAGAGTTAAATACAATTCCCATTGCAATAAAATATCTTCCTCCAGAAACAGAGAGATAAACTTTTTAAGGTTTCTTCTTTGGAGGGCAGTAGTGGAAAAGATGTATGTCCTGTGAAATTCTGCTACAGTATCCTTTCATACCCACTCTTAACAACATTTTTCTGCGTACAAAAGCTCCACAGAAAGACACCCAATGTCCATCGGGTTGTTCTTGCCACCTGAGGGTTGTTACTACACCCTGCATCTGATGTTGGTTGATGTTCTCCAGCAATGGTAGGCCTCCACCACATCCACCTTCAGCGGGATTTGCTGTGTGCTGAAATGGGGCTTGCACTGTGGGGTGAAAATGAAAGCAGGAGAGTCTACAAGGAGCTTACTCACTGAGATGAGAAGGGAAAGCATTTTATTCTGCCAGATAGGGCTGGGATTGGATGAGATGAGTCACTTTGCCAGCTGTTAACACACACACACATTTGAGGCTCTTACATCCGGGCTACATTATACATACTTCATTCAGTGAACAAATTCCCCCAACCATTCCAGGGCATGGTCTTTCTTCACCTTAAATGTACCTTGTAAGGGTACATTTTGATTGTTTATTAATTCCTTTCATATTTCACTTGATACTCTTTTAAGCTATTCACCATTATTAAAATGATGTGTGGAATTGTCAGAGGAAATGTACAAGAGTGAGGAATGGGGTGCAATAATGACATGAAAATAAGTCTATGTCCATTTCATATACAAGAGGGACTTCAGAAAGGTGCCAGTCCAGTGCTGCTCCTACAGCACCACATCAGGACTCCAAAATATATATACATACATATCTGAAAAGCACTGAGCTCAGGCCAGTGCTTTGCCACTTTCTCATAGCATGTAACACGTAGAAAATGATCATTAGGAAGACACATTGGTATAAGTGGACGACGCTTCTCTGGGCACACCTGTAACCTGGTCCGAGCACACTTATTGGGTAGCTCTGGGTTTTGTAATGTGAAGAGGTGGTCCAATTAGGGGACAGTTATGAAGTAATTGTTCAGAATTACTACCTCACCTCATTGCCTAAAAGATTTAATACATTGAGCAACCAAATACCAGAAGACTTTCCATGCCATCCTCCCTAGCTGCCACTTTGATAAGGAGGAGGTCTCATGATGATACATAAAAACACCCTTCTGTGTGTCAGGTAATAAGTGATTCTGGGAGTTGTCATGAACCCTCAGGAAGTAAGCAATGGGCACTGGGGAGCTCTAAAGTAAGACGAGAGGACAACTGTTTTCACTGAGGTATAATATACACAGTTGTAGTTAGGTGCCATCGAGTTGCTACCGACTCATAGCAACCCTATGCACAACAGAATGAAACACTGCCCAGTCCTGGGCCAACCTTACAATTGTTGCCATGCTTGAGCCCATTGATGCTGCCACTTTGCCAATCCATGTCGCTGGGGGTCTTCCTCTTTTTCTTTGACCCTCCACCTTAACAAACATGATCTCCTTGTCCATTGAATGGTCCCTACTGATAATATGTCCGAAGTATGAGAGATGAAGTTTGGCCATTCTGGCCTCCAAGGAGCTCTCTGGCTGCACTTCTCCCAACACAGATCGGTTGGGTCTTTTGGCAGCCCATGGCACTTTTAATATTATCCTCCAACACCATAACTCAAA